GCTGATTACATGGTTGCTATATTTTTCAGGAAGTCTTTGGGCACTAGCCTTTGGCTTGAGTTTCTGGAAAATGAGGTCAGCGATGAAGGTTGCTTGATGGCTGTACATCTGAGCACAAATAAATAGAGTACTAATTTTCAGTCTACTTGCTGCATGGCTACTGGCCCCATGCAATATTAGTGTCCATTTTTTTTGGTAGCTGGTCTTCCTTTTTGAATAACTTCTAGCTGTTGCTACTGGGCCCATGTTTTAGGGTTTAGAGTGTATTGACTGAAATGGAAATACTATGCTTCTTATCTAAAATGTCTGATACTGTAGCCATCGTTCAAATATAGCTGTAATACTGAAATTTTGTAAGTACAGTGCACCAAATTACTCTTTTTTTAAATCTGTTTGCCCTGGTGGATTCTTTATTGTTCAACAAGAAGTTCACCTATATCCTTTAGTCTTGGACTATGGCTGCAAAAACTTGTCCTTTTCCTGGATTGTATCAATTTGCAGAATTCCTCTTAAACATAAATTGGTTGCAAGTTTTGGACCTTGCACCACTTTAACTTGTGCAGCCGCTGAGATTGTTATATTTTTCGGGAAGTGTTGGGCAAGTCTTTGGCTTGGAAGGTGGTTTTCCACATAACCTGGTGGATGTGCTCTAGTGTTGGCAAGCCGAGTGCATTCATGTAACCTTTTGGTGCCTGACTTTGGATGATTCAAATAGGGTGCAAGACAAGATTGTATGTTATATATGTATTAACCTCCATGATGTGATGTACATGTTTATGTATCTTTATGTGATGACATTAAGCTTTAATGCGGGTATGATATGTGCTAAATGTATTCTAATTGTATTTATTTATTTTTTGGCATATTTATATTGTCCTGTTGAACAATCGACGCTATAAATACATGGCAATCGATCGTCTGACGCTAAAAGTGTTGTCGGCGCTATAAGTTAGCAACGACTTTATACGATACAATATATATTCAGGGCAACAGATCGTCTCGATGCTAAAAGTCTTGTCGACGCTAAAAGATTTTAGCGTCGGGACTTATAGCGTCTCGCAGAAGTCTGGCGCTATAAGTTTTAGCGTCGATCGTCCGGGCGTTATATCTGCTTTTAGCGTCAGATTGTCCGACGCTGATCTCGGTGTTGTGGTGTAGTGACTATTTTGGTAAGACTTCTTTGATAGGTTTCAACTCTTGCTTCTTTAACCTTTTAGGTGAAGTCATATTAAATGCTAGTTTCGAAATGACTTTATGAAAGAAGCCCAAGAGGGGAAAAGGTGTGTTTTTAACTATACCAGTGGAACTACCTAAATTTGGCTTCTCCGACTTCTCTTGCCTTTTTGGGTGAAATCGGTTTCAAAAAGTCCCGCCAAACATGTCCTAGAAATGCTTCCATCGTGACATGCCCACCATATATGATATATAATACACACACAAAATGCCAAAAGTGATTTTCCTTTTTCAATGTGGCACCTTGGTTTGGATAATTAATAGAAGTATAAAGCTCAAATTACCGCCCTAATTAAGTATGACCTATGCCCGATTAACTCTCTAAACTAATATTTTAATTCAATCCAATGCTATATTTTAGTGGTGGAAAGCTTGAGTTTCCATAAGTGGATATGAACACCGCCTTACACACAGCGGGTTAAACGCCCAACCTCTAGTCTAGAAATAAAATTCAACAAATAAAAATGCCTAGTTGAGGCGAGCTGCTGTACCCAATGGGCCTATGCGTGGATGTCACCATTGAACCCGCTATGGACGGAGGCTTGCTGCTGCCTTCAATCATGCCCTCACCACCTTGAACGCGTGATCCCTTTGGGCTGGTTCTTCCTAATTATGAACAACTCCACCGCTTTCACTCACTGTTGTTGCATCCACCACTAGATGATTTGTAGTCGTACTCCATACTCCTCCCTTGCCACCACCACCATTTAGCTTGGGAGATTTGAGCTTCACCTTGAGGAGAGTTAGATAGAGCGAGGTGAGGGAGAGAGGATAGGGAGAGAGAGAGAGAGAGAGAGAGAGAGAGAGAGAGAGAGAGAGAGAGAGAGAGAGATGTTCTCTATCTCATCATCCATGCCAGATTTGAGCTCATACAACAATGCATTTGCCTCCAAATGGCCTAGTTCACCCGTGGATCAGCGCCATGTGCGGATCGGAGAGGGAGGTGGCGATAGATTGGCTTTTGGCTTGTCCAAACTAGGGACAACAACGGGGCAGATCGGGCTAGGCCCCAGAATTTCAGACCTCATGGGAGCGGCGAGTGCAGGTGTCTTTTGCCCCACGTGTTTGAGGGTCATGACCCAAATCAGGTTGAGTCTTGGTAGGTTTTAAAATGCCCTGTGGGCTCCGAAAACAGGCTTTGCATTTCCAAATTCACTCATGTTTGCGTACTCCTTAATTCAAGTTCTTCTACATCTACCTAGATTGTATCATACATATATCAACAAAAATTTGGATATATTGTAGATATTTTTATTTAACTTGCAATACCTATTTCATACAATTTTTATATACGTCATATGAGTTTTAATGAGTACTTCCAAAAAAACAAAACGAAATATTACCAAGATAAATATAGAGTAAAATCCATTTTATCATACTGAACTTGTCTCATAGTTTGAACAACCCCACCCTCCTATATAAACTCAGAAGCTAGACATCATACAACACTAAATCCTAGAACAGGGGACATATTATCTACTACAACGATTCAAAGTAATCTAAAGGTAAGTTTTTGCTAAAAATCCGACATCATATGCTATACCGACTCTCCAAATCAAACAAACTACCCACTGTGACACTTCAAAATGTTTCCAAGGTAGTTTTGCTAATGTAACATGTAGACCCAACATGCAAGCATCCTTCCCACTCTATTCATGCATCTATGCATCCCCCTCTTTTTCTCTCACTACTAGATGGACACATCGTTCATACTCCCTAGCCCCTCCCCATCACTATTACCCACTACTATGAGCTTGCAATAACGGTAGAGCTAAAAATAAGAGCCATGATGAATGACCTCATATGCTATTCACTTCACTCAAGCGACAACAAAGAAGCCATAGGATGGTCTTCCATTTCACCACTCCAACCTGCTACTCATAGATCTTTAGCCATGCTTCTCATGGTGGCGCTTCAAGATAAGGGTAATAAGGATCCGTGAGAGAGATGGAAGGACGACGAAGATGATGGATGGGGTGACTAGGGTCGACTTACAGTGAGAGACATAAAGGAAGGGGACACACGAATAGAAGGAAATGAAGCCTACCCGTAGGATGGGCCCGATATAGATGGCGTGATAAAAAAAAAAAACCATACGACGTTGCTTAAAACAATCAGGAAAAAAAAGTATAGATGTTCGACATGTGAAACCTCGTCTTGAAAATCTTAAAAAACCACTTTAGTCGTCTTTGATTTTAACATTTATAAGGAGTATAAAATCATGGCAAAAATCACTTTGAGCCGCTTCAATTTTCAGATTGACAGTTATAGCCTCAAGGTTCCCATTTTCACCTTGAACCGCTTCAATTTATAAGGAGTATAAAATCATCGCAAAAATCAGTTTGGTGTGTTTTGAGAGCTGTTTATTTTTATTTTTTAAGCCATAGTAAATGAGTCAAAATGGCAACAGTGCGATGCACTGATGGGTGCTTGCCACCCGTTACCGCTTGCCTCCGAGATCAAAATCTTATCCGTCGGGTTACCTGTACAGCAGTGGGTAGAAAATTCATTCCATACTCACACCCGACGGGTAATTCTTACCGACGGGTAACCCGCACCCAACAATATACCCGAGTTCACATACCAAAATATAATAGCTTCCAACAAAACAAATCAACAATAGAGCAGCAAAACAGAAATATATCCAGGTCAAGCTAGTTGAAATAGATCAGATGCCTCATTGGTTCATTCCAAATATGCTTATATGGGGATTAGGGTTTGAGGGAGTTCTCGAATATATATACTCATATGCTTATATGGGTCAAATATGAGCTATATGCTTATATGAGCTAAAATTGTAGAGGTTGGATATTATTTATGCGGGTTTTTTTAAACGTGGGTATGCGGGTATGGGTAGTATACACCCATATCCGTACCCACATACTTGATAGGTACAAGAATTCGTCCAATAACATACCCGTAGGTGTAAAATGTCTTTCGTACCTGCCTCTTATCGGCTAAAACCCGTCGGATACTCGGGTTTTGGGTACCCGTTGCCATTTTGAGTCGTGAGGACTGAGGAGTCGAAGAGACCACGTTCTTCTGCTCCTCCCCTTCACAGACCACAGCCCCCGACTGCCACAGGTCTCTCTCCCTCTCTCCTCGCGACGACTGGGCGAGACCGCCGACGCCGCCCTTCGCCTGGTGCCCAGGTCTCCGCCGCGTCCTTCGCCGGAGATCACCAGGTTCGCCGCCTGCCCCCTTCCTTTCCCTTCGTGCTGGGCGGAACCGATCTCCCAAACCCTAGCTTACGCTTCCCATTTGTGTACTTGCATCCGGATCTGATCTAGTTACAAGTATATAGCATGCTTGCATCCGGATCTGATCTAGTTACGGGTGTGGTACAGTTGCATTCGGATCTGGCGTAGAAGAGTTCGCTAGTCTTTTTTTACGAATTGGTCTGAGCTAACTGGATGCTTGAACTGGGGTGTCAGTGGAAGTTGTTGTTGGCGTGATTCCAGTGAAGAGTAGTTGGTCTTTCGTCCGGAAGTAAACTTCCTCCACGCATATTAGTTTACTGGAATATGATTGCAAATTTGAGATGCTGCAAGTCATGAATAAATTGTTTTCTTTGTGTGACCTTTTTTCTGTACTAAGAATTGGATTTAGTGCTTTCAGTTAGCATGTGAATTCGAATCCAGTGTTCCTTTCAATCAATCATATATTGAAAAAAAAAATATCACTGATGGATTCTCTTTATATGCCAAGCTGCAGCAGTTCTGTAGAAATGGCTGATGGTGAGGACATCCAGCCTCTTGTCTGCGACAATGGCACCGGAATGGTCAAGGTCAGTGCTTCTCCTTATTGTACAAACATTATCTCCCTTGTTTGTTTCCAAATATGCCACTAATAATGGCTCTCTTCATAGGCTGGTTTTGCTGGTGACGATGCACCAAGGGCTGTTTTCCCTAGCATCGCCGGGTCGTCCTCGTCACACTGGTGTCATGGTAGGGATGGGACAGAAGGACGCCTATGTTGGTGACGAGGCACAGTCCAAGAGAGGTATTCTCACGCTCAAGTACCCGATTGAGCACGGTATTGTGAGCAACTGGGATGACATGGAGAAATCTGGCATCACACTTTCTACAATGAGCTCCGTGTTGCCCCCGAGGAGCACCCTGTGTTGCTCACTGAAGCTCCTCTGAACCCAAAGGCCAACAGGGAGAAGATGACCCAGATTATGTTCGAGACTTTCAATGTTCCAGCCATGTACGTTGCGATTCAAGCCGTGCTCTCCCTCTATGCTAGTGGGCGTACTACTGGTATGTCCTGCTTCTCTCTATGTAGTCCGGTGTTGCTTCAGGTTCCTACTAATAATGTCTCTATGGTTCCATTATGCTGTTATCAAGTATTTATCTGAGGTTATTGTCAAGGTCATATCATGTCGCCATGTATCTTCTATTCTTGTTCATGAGATTGCATAACTCAGATACACTGCATATGTGCTTACCACCTCAGTCTGTACGGTGATATGAATTCAGGAAAAAATAAGTATCTCAGCTAATATACCAAGAATAAATAATGGAAGCTAAAATTAATTGTTTACACTGTGTGTCTGAAGTTTCCTCTTTTTTATTTTCTCAATCTACAGGTATTGTTCTTGACTCTGGTGATGGTGTGAGCCACACTGTGCCCATTTACGGAAGGATATGCCCTTCCTCATGCCATTCTTCGCTTGGATCTTGCTGGTCGGGACCTCACGGACTCCCTCATGAAAATTCTCACTGAGAGGGGTTACTCCTTCACAACCTCTGCCGAGCGAGAAATTGTAAGGGACATCAAGGAGAAGCTTGCATATAGCCCTTGACTATGAGCAAGAGTTGGAAACTGCCAAGAACAGCTCCTCAGTCGAAAAGAGCTATGAACTACCTGATGGTCAAGTAATTACCATCGGTGCAGAGAGATTTAGGTGCCCTGAGGTCCTCTTCCAGCCGTCCATGATTGGTATGGAGGCTGCTGGAATCCATGAGACAACATACAATTCAATCATGAAGTGCGACGTGGATATCAGGAAGGACCTCTACGGCAACATTGTGCTCAGTGGAGGTTCAACTATGTTCCCGGTATCGCTGATCGTGTGAGCAAGGAGATCACTTCCCTTGCACCAAGCAGCATGAAGATCAAGGTCGTTGCACCACCTGAAAGGAAGTACAGTGTCTGGATAGGAGGGTCGATCCTAGCCTCGCTCAGCACTTTCCAACAGGTGTGTGTTGTTTATATTACTTTCAGCTGCTGCACTTTATTTCTTTTAACTCATAATAATATGGCTGAAATGAAAACACTTCTGAATTCTGTTATGATGTGGCATTGATGTACCAGATGTGGATATCAAAGGAGGAGTATGATGAGTCTGGCCCGGCAATTGTTCACAGGAAGTGCTTCTAGGTTTCGCAAGTTCCTCATCGTCATCGTCACCTAGTCTCAAGTTATGTCCCCTTCATTTCTCGAGATATGTGGCAGGTTTGCATGCTACGTTTATTTTCATCGGACCTGAGTCCTCTTGGGGATAGGCCCCCCTTTTGTATGTTGCGGCTCCATGTGCGAGCACGCTGTGTCGTATCACCTGGTTTGTGAGATGAGTTGTTGTCACTTGCTTGGCTTGATTGGTTGTACCTGTAAGAGCTGATAGTTTTATAAATTGCTTTGGCTGTGCTGCTGCTATCAATAGCTTTGTATTTATTCTGAAAGCGTTGTAATCTGAGCATCCGTGCAAGTATGAATGGCCCTGTACATGGGCTGGGTTTTCCGGTTTCTATACAATACGGCGTTTGTCAACTGTCAAGACTTAACATATAAACAAGGATGGTGTGGAGATGATTATACGACAATGGTAGCCTGGTTTCGATTTTCAGTCACCACAAAACATGTGTTACAAGTATAGCATTTGCTGCATTTTATGTCAAATAAAGTATTTGCTGACACTGAAAGAGTTTGAGATTTCCAGGAGTCTCGAGGATACGTTTTGCAGCGTCAAATTTGACAAAGCCTCACAGTGGAACAGTTTTTCTTTTACACTTCAGCGTTGGTGGAATCAGATCATCATACAAATGAGTCCTTGAATTTGCTTTCTCATAAGATTTGGCTGGACTGACCTAATCTATGCTTTTGGTACAGATTATGCTTTTATATTTCGTTATGAACATGAGTCCAAAACTCTAAACTTTGCTTTCTTCTAGTAGTTTCTGTGTCCTGAAGACCAGCAGCTCCACGCATCAGTAGAAGTCATAAGAAAATCTGAAAATCATCAAAAACTCTTCTTTCGTCGTATGTCTCCACGCAACGTCTGAATTTTTCCTCTGCTTCAGCTTGGAGAATACAGAGGCCTTTAGGATTTTGATCTGGTTAAACAAATTAATAAAAATAACCGAGCTAGTATATCTTTTTTGGCTATTTTTATGTTCAATCCGCAGTTTCAACAAATCAATTCAATCTATTTGGTATATATGCTGTGCATTTCGATTTTGCAAAGCATGCAAAACAGTTCCTGGGAGAGAGCTCAGAGCTATTGAAATAGCCAGCTTCTTTTGACTATTTGAGCCATTATGCATAAGATGATAGGTCATAGGACCTAGGTTTATGTTGAGTTATTTAGAAAGTTTAGATCTGACGAATGCACAGCTTACACATATCATCATGGAGGATAGCAGGTGATCTCTACCGAGGGTGTCTCATCTATGTGTTACGCAAGTTTTGGTAACAGGTTAAATGGCAGTCAAAAGCTTGACTTGTCCAAATTTGGCACGTGTTGTTTAGACCTTCTAATCAGAATCTAGTTTTAGTAAAACAAGGTTTATTTGGAATTTCGGGAGAATTTTTTTTTTGAACGCAGAGGAGACAAAAAAAACATCGCTGTTGGCTAGTTTTTTACTCCGTGTTTGAATATTTCTTCTTTGTTTGGGAATAGAGGAGGGCAGGAGGCGACTCCACCGACCACCGGAGCAGGGATAGCACTTTCTCTCATCTAAGAGCATCGAGACTCTCCATATCATTCCTAAATGTCAAGAATAGATATTTTGGTGAAAAACTATCCTCCAACAGTTTCTCTAAATCTTCATCCAAATATAGTCATATTTTATTCCTGATTTTTCGCTAGGCAAAAATAGAAGACGAGAATGACTTTCTAGAGTGCGCATGAGATATAGAAAAGTTGTTGGAGAGTGAAATGAAATAGAAATGAATTTTTTATGTAAAGGGCTCTCTAAATGATGATTTAGAGTGAGATTTAGAAAGACTATTAAATAGTTAATTAATTTATATACACCGCTTCTTGCGGCTTGTACCCACCATGTAGAATGATTGCTAGATTTGTTGGATGTTGGCAATTGAGATATTGTCACGTAAGCCAGTTCTCTAAGAAATCATAAAACAAATTTGTTTTTTTGTTAAGCCTCACTTTTCTAGGCTGTGGACAACTTTGTTTTGATAATCCCAAGTTAGTTAGCATCCAAACATTGTATTGCTGGTTGTTGGGCTCAAACTTGTTCTATAAAATCTAGTTTTCATAAACGGTAATGCTGGGTCAGGGCATCCGAACGCACGATCGCGGCTTCCTAGAAATCTCCCCACTCTCTATCGCGCCGTCCACTCGCTCCACCGTGCCGTACGTCTTCCCTACTCCGCCTCCACTTGCCGCCCGCCTTCCCCACTCCGCGCTCCACCATGCCGCCCACCTCCACCACGCCCACTACGCCGTGGCAGGCTCCTCCAGCCGCCGCCGAGGCTCCACGACGGATGCTCCAGCAAGTAGGTGAAGGAAGGGACCTTCGTGTGACGCCGCCACGCCGATGAGCTCCACGTGCTGCTGTTGACCTCCGTGCCGACGGGTCTCCATTCGTCCAAGCAGCAAGGTGACATTGCACTGAAAGTGCATGTTGCAAACCTATGTTTCAAGTGTTTTAGATGTTTTAGAGGTATGTTGCAAGTGTTTTATATCGATATTGCAAAAGTAGATCGAAATGTTGCACATGTTGCAATAACTATACACGTATGTTTCAAGTGCATGTTCCAAATGTTACATCAGTTTCAGACGTATGTTGTAAGTGGTTTATTTGGATGTTACAAAAGTAGATCTGTATGTTGCATACACATGCATGTTTCAAGTGTTTCATCATTATGTTGTAAATGTTTCATCTAGATGTTGCATATATTTTGCTATAGCTACA